CACAGGGCCTCTGGGCTTCGCGCTGCGGCTGCGACCGCTGTGTATGTTTGCTGCCAGCTGCTGCTGCTGCAGCAGACACGACAGGAGCTGCTGCAGCGGCATAGCCACACATCCTCAGACTCCCAACAGCAGCAGCAGCAGCAGCAGCAGCAGCAGAGTGAGCAGCAGGAGATGGGCCTCGAAGCAATCTGCCGCAGGCTGCAGGAGTACCGGCTGAAGCAGCAGCAGCAGCAGCAGCAGCAGCGGGGGCTTCGTCGACTGCCTGCTGCTGCTGCTGCTGCTGCTGCTGATGCTGCAGCAACAGCAGAAACAGCAGCAGCTCCTGCAGCTGTTTCTAACTTGGGTTTATTGCGTGCTGCTGCTGGGCTGCAGCAACCATCCTCTAGGCAGCAGAAGCAGCAGCAGCAGCAGAAGCAGCAGCAGCAGCAGCAGCAGCAGCTGGAGACGCATTACGTGGAGACCAGCAGCAGCAGGCGGACACTCCTGGGTGCTGGAGCAACAGCAGCAGCAGCAACAGCAGCAGCAGCAACAGCAGCAGCAGCAGCAGCAGTTGGCGCTGCTGAGGATCGCTCCTCCTTGCTGCTCTTCGTTGCTTCAGACAGCAGCGAAGACGAGCAAGAGCAGCAGCAGCAGCAGCAGCAGCAGCAGCAGCAGCAGCGGCTGCATACACCTCAGCCGGCATCCCCTCCACCAGCACGTCGCGCTGCTGGAGACAGTGCTGCTGCTGCTGCTGCAGCAGCAGCTGCTGCTGCTGCTGCTGTCTCTGCTGCGAAATCACTGCAGGGGAGGCCGCGCTGTTTGCTGCTGTCTTCTGACGAAGACGAGGAAGCAGCGACGGTCCCCACCAAGCAGCAGCAGCAGCAGCAGCAGCAGCAGCAGCAGCGACGGCAGCAGCAGCAGCAGCAGACGAAGAAGCAAAGCAAAGGCAGATGGAGAAGATATTCTGCTGCGTCTCCTGGGGACTGCAGCAGCAGCGACGCTTCACCTGCTGCTGCTGCTGCTGCTGCTGATGATGATGATGATGC